CAAATGTTGGTCGGAATTATTGTTATTATTTATATTATGGGGTGTGCGATAGACTTACCTCCACGTGGTGCACCCTAGGCAATGTATACTCATACGGCAAAAAAGTCTATTAATCGGCAGTTGACTTCTCACTTCAAACTACCAGAACACCCCACTGTATGTCATATACTTCAACAGTACTCACCTCACCTTTGTCCTACCTTTGTGTCTGCCACCTTAACATCTTCTATTCCCCCTCTCGAATTTTTCTCACTTTGATGTTTCTCCCCTCTGTGAAGCCCGAAGTCAACTAAAGGGTTAATGATAACTATCATAATGCCTGCCATTTGATATAAATAAATTATTAATATTATTGTATTGCGCTTATATGTCCCGAGTTCGGGAGGCTGTGAACACAGTATGAGGAAATAACCGTCCACATAGAGTATCAAAAAAGATTAGCAAAAGTAGACCTCCCCTACCATAGGGGAGTGGTTGGACACGCTTAGGATTTGATAGTAAAGTGATTTCAGTAAAATATGTATTGAAGCAATACCTCAAATAACTAAAGTAGTGAGAAGTGGAATAACGAGTGGGTATGGGCGGGGAGGAGGGGAGGGGAGGGGAAGAGGATACATCTTAGGTAGTGCTAGAAGGCAATGTGGTCACTGGCGAGTGTAACCCCCAAAACACATCCGAATCCAGTCAAGAGACCGAGGCATTGAATTAAGAAAAGCCAAATCGAATTCTCCTTTTTCTTCTCCTTCACTTCTAGGGATTCACGCAATTCCGGTAACTAATAGATAGGAAAACTAATCAATTAAAAATTCTCCCAACCAATTGGAAAAGATAGCCAAAATTTAACTTTATCAAGTGATCTTTAAAAGTTCTTATTATCATTAAAATGCATCACCTTCTTTCGATCACGAAATGAATTGTAGTTTCTCAACTGTGCGATTAAAAAGGACGAACATATTACTACAAATATGCATATATTATATTACTTAAAGTTGTGCATCTCTAAGACTGGCATGAAATACCAAAATAAACTAAATAAATTGCTTTCCTTGGCAAAATAACTTGCAAATAAGGAAAGAATGTTCAAATTGTTTTTCTAGTTGTTAAACTTATAGAAGATGGTTGGAACTTGCTCTTAGAAGCGTCTCAAGAGTAACGCTACCAATAACTTCCATCGTGACTTCAGGCATGAAACAATAGACACCTGGTTGTCAGGCAGATACGCAAGATGCATTTTCAATAACATACGGTGATAGAAAAATAATCTTGGGAACAATAAAGTAGCCCTGTGGTTCTGGAGGAGTTTGATAACTTCGCGAAATTACATGAGTCCAAATGCACGCGAACCTCAGTAAGCTAACGGAAAGAACAGTTTTTCAAACCGATCGGCAGTTGAAAGAACCACTAACACTGTTTTTTTCACTTCAATATACCAGAACTCAAATTTTGGTGAACCTATGATCATATATAGCTGACCGTGCAAATTGCAAAATTCAAATTATAAGTCATTTTAGGCAGATTTTTCTTAACGCATTGAATAAGTGGAACAAGCTAACTTTCTATTTTCAAGGCGGCGATTCATTTCATGTTGATAAAGCAGGAGTAGGGCATCATAAAGATTATGGAAACTGGTATCATTTATTAGCAAGTCTGTTGCAAGTATCGCTTAACACGTTGTACAATCAGTAATCAATTTTGAAGGTGTGTCCGACTATATGGAAAACACGGTAGTCTGAGTTTGATTGACTTCTCAATAGTCTACTTTCTCAAATCTATTCAGCAATTAGGAGCCATAGTTTAGCTATCTTGAATGAACATGGTACTCACCATATCAGATAGACTGATGTAAAGGAAAAAACCACCACAGATCGCGAAGACATAGAGAGCACCCGTGGAAACCTCTCCAATTACAAGACCAATAACCAAACCAATATAAGCCGAACAAGCAGATAAAAAGTTGGCGCAGATAGCCGCTCTGATGGAGAATCCCGAGGATATCAAGATAGCAAAGTCACCTAAAGCAAGAAAACGCTTGAAGATCATACAACAAGCGCACTCAAGTTAATTTCAACTCTTCTTCCTTACCCAATTCATGAGGCAATTCTTCAAAGAGAATACTCAGTGTAAGTGCGATTCCAATATGTGGGCTTTCAGTGAAACCGACAGCAATAGTCATTCCATCCATGAGGTTATGAAAACTATCACCGAAGAGAATCATCCATGCAACAGGAGCAATCTGCGAGAACTTTTCATGCGTAAAGTAAGCACAACAGCGACTTTTACGTCCTCGAAGAATTGTCTCGGATCTTTGGGAGATATTGATACTTGAACTGGAGAAACTATTTTCCAAAGCTGCTCTGCCAATCATGGAAATGTCCGGCTATAACCGAAATAGAAGGACGCATTATTTCGGTCTTTTAAATAAGGCACTATGAATACTTGTAAAACTTACATTCGAATTGTCATTGTCATTCTTCGAGCTCTCGTCAGTTCTAATATCGCTGTCGGATGATGAATCCCACTTAATGAAATCAAATAGATCATAATTAGCTTCGTTGAGATGCAGAACTTTAAGATAATGGCACAACAAATATCACTGCAGATCGAAATGATAGACACGTTGAAGCCTAAAGTAGGTCTGATTCATAATAGATCTTCATTAGAAACCGGAATAAGTTAGGTCAGATACCCACTTATGATTAGCAGCTCAATGAACCTTGAAATAGCAAGAAAGTCAATGGCTGGGTTGAGCAAACACAAATGGAAACGAACAAGAGGAAAAGCAAGAAGGAGTGGGAAAATTAATTGAAAGGAAATAATGTGGCGTCGGTAACGATGAAGGACAATTCAATTAAGGTGGAACAGTAGCAATAGTGGTCATCGAGAAGCTGGTTAACTTTATTCTCTTTGATTAAAAGACAAACAACCAATCAAATATAACCAATTGATAATTAGTTTTGAGTTAGGTTATGGGGAACTCTTAAAGACAGGGTAAGAATATGAGACAAAATGCAAAGAAACAATTTCCCTCCCAAATTGGGAATCTCTAGAGCAAATACTTTTGAAAGATTTACCTTATAAATCGCGTTCAACCACTCCTTTTTCAAAAATATATTATCTACTGCAGTCGGTTAGTAGAGGTGGTGCACCAATAAGTATCAATCTCCTACCCTGCTACTTGGCATGAGAACAAGATGACCGTTTCGAAATCAGTAAAAGGCATTCTATTGCCCAGTCAAGTATGACTGATGGTTAGTCTAAGCATAAGACACATGAGTTTAGATCACATATTAAAGAAACGAAACATATATATTAAGCGATCCAGAGTTCCATAAGTGAGGATTATTTATTGAGATTGCCCTGTGAAAGGGAAGAAAATACACATGATGCTTACCCTGAAGAGACGGGGAAGTATGAGAAGAATGTATTCTAAAATGAAGAAAAAGAATACGCCAGCAGCAACACAGCCCATTTTATAAAGGTAAGTGCGACCCTGTCCACCAAACTCCAACGGCAACTCAACCATTCGCATTGCCTAAAGTCATAATAAGGAGAATCTAGTATATTTAAACTTATGGTATTATAATTTTAAAGTAGATGTAAATTAACACGAGCTTACTTCAGGAACAAGGACAAGAATTGAAGTTGCTAAGAGAGCACTGACCGCAAGAGACATCATAAAATTTAGGAGAATCGGGAAATGCTTTGAACGTTTGATGGGTATACAAATAAAACCCGTCACCGCACACAAATTTGTAAGGGTAACGCAGAGGAATGAGTACAAAATAGCTAAATTAAATTAAACAACTATTAGGTAATATTTAAAATATTTACAACTTCCAGAATACATGCTTTTACCTAGAAATTTCATTTCCTTAAAAATGGGGTTAACACAAACATAAATTAGGATGATTAATCACGTTCGCCAATCCACAAACTGCCCATAAAGTGAGAATGAACAGAGGAACATCAAAACAGGTACGATTAATAATAATTAGCATAAAATCACTTACTTTGTCCAAGATTTTGAATTTTTGAAGAAGGTGGATTGTATATTTCTATTACAAAATTATCGGAGGCAGAATCATTAGGAGAGAAAAACGTAAGAAGAGCTACATTGTCAGCTATTTTGGGTACCTAAAATGGAAAAGTAATGCCTTTGGAATGGTACTTATTAAGGTTAAAAGTATATGAAAACAAAAACCACACATTTTTCAAGGGAACTTTGACGAGAGGATTGGGCTTAAGTGTAATGTTATGCAATTGTGAAACAGTGATCGAACCTATTGCATTAGTAAAAGGATCGCGACTAAATTCGTTTGAAACCGCATGAAGGATCATAGAAGGCTCTGCATTGACCGCAAAATAATTCAAATTTTCGGTCAAAAGTAGAGAAGTCAGAACAATCACAAGGGTCCAATGACGAAAAAGTGCCGATGCTGAACCAGTGGTCGTCAAAAACAAAAAAGGGGAAGCCATCCTAAAAAAAAAATATTTGAACTAATTAAGCCTGTATGTATAACATATATATATATATATATATATATATATATATTAATTTATAAATATGCGGCTCATCATTATCTTGAGTTAAAAAGGTTAAACGCAATTTGCCTATAACTAATATTGAAATTGAACACCATTATAAAAGAAAAATCAAGGCATTCGATTGAACTTTCGATGTAATAATTGAATAAATAACGTGTCCAAACCTTGACCTTATATAAGGTCTTAAAGGGACTCCAATTTGTGCGGTGCAATCAATTGATTCATAAAAACATTATCCTGTTAAATTATAATCAGTCATATAAATTAAACATTAATTAACTTCAGTTGATTTTATTTTTAAAATACTTATTGTTCAACTTTACTGCCGTAAATAATTAATTAAATGATTTGTATTAGACGTCGTTGTTGTAATATCCTAATAGTTTTGTGTCCTTGGGAATGGCTATCGATTTCCTTAGTATAGATATTTTGAATGTTTTAACCCTTATAAAATTTAAATTATAGTTTCATTTACATGGTAATTCTAAAGTGATGACTTGATATTAATACTATTTTTTGGCAACCATATTGCAAGCAAGCACCATTGTCGTAAATACTTCACTTAACGTCATGGACCATAAAAGTTAAATTTTTAAAAGTTCCTCTATTCTTTGTGATTGATGGTAAAGGTCTGATTTCATCTGTGTATGCTCAGGGTCTTTGAGAAATTATTCATTCATTAATTCAATATATTGCTAGAAGTGGAATTAAAGTTGATTCAGAGAGGTCAAGGTGGTAGAATAAATTGAATTGAATGTGTGCTTAATTATGCTCTTGCATACAGAAAATTTCAAATAATTCTATTAGGTGTGCGTTCATCTCCGAAGGAAGAATTAAGAGGATAAGATGTATCTTCGTGTGAGATTATTTTTCTAATAACTTGAAAGCAAGATTGTTGCTTTTCACATTTTCAGAGATGATCATTTAAATCAGTACGAGAATATAAATAATTAGATCTAAAAATCTGTAAAAAAGCACGCCGAAAATCGAAACGAAGTTTATATTAATAAATTCATTCCAGCAGTAATAAAGTTCAGGTATAATTCTTTTCATTTAACTTCTAAGTTCATATCATTTCAACAGCTGTACATCATATTTAGAAAAATGAAGTTATACAGAATTAGTTTAAATTATGTAGAAACGCTAAAATGAACACTGTGACCAGCAGAATTGAAATAAATTGAGGACGATATTATGTATGTTTGCATAGAGAAGATAAAATGCTTGTAGGCATAAGCCTGTGTTTATAAAATATACAAGAGAGGGTTAAAATACCCTCTATTCAGGTAATAAAGGTCGTGTCAGGGAGATTGAAGGAGGGTTCTACTTACGTATTTCTACGGGAGGCCCTCAAGGCAGCCTTCAGTAAATTGCCTAACCCTGTGGCTTTAGGTGGCGTCTTTGTTCTAAATGATAGCAAAGCGCGCTTTCATGTACTCGTGAGTCGACAGCTATTCTTTATGACCTTGTTAATTGTAGATAATTTGCACATTTTCCCACTCTGAATGTATACCTACTTTTCAGAGTATTAAAATTGAAAAATACTAGTTGGAGTTCTTTCGGGCACATCTCCTACTGGATATTAAATAATGGTGCATATTTATCCTAACAATATAGAATATGTTTCCCCATTCAGTGATCATTTTTTTCAACAAAAGTATCACTTTCGAGAATTTGAATATGTACATCAACTTTGGTTGAATTCAATTTATCACTTGTTTTATTCCGAAATGCTCCCTCCATCAGCTTCGTTCTGTTTAACTTCTGATATCCTTAATAAGCGTACTTAAAGTGAGCCTTATCAAGTGAAGTTGGATGATCAAGTGATTGAATTAATTATTGTAAATGAGATTTCAAATCTCGTACTTCCATATATGGATATTTCTTGCTGATTCCACGGAAGGTGGTATTGTCAGTTTGTGAACTTTGTTTCGTTAGGGAGNTAACTTCGTAATTATTTATTTGAATTTGAATTTTAAGAAAACTGTCTATGTGTGTGCGTATCATTTAAAGTAAACATTCAAGTTGTGCTTGGAGGATACCACCATCGTAAGGTATTTTCCGTTCTCTATTTCATTGAGCATATTCATTAAGATCAATGGTTATTAGGGAAGAGCAAGCGATGTAGTTTCCTTAATACACTTGTAGAGCCAGGAAGTGGTATTTCTATGTATTCCAATAGATTGAATATTGCCCTGATATAAAGAGCACTGACATTACTATGTCTACCATAATTTTCCTCGTGTGTTCTTTCTCTCATCTCTACCAGGAACGTTGTAATGTCGGGCTTGAACATCATAAAGGGTGTATTTGACTGTGAAGGCTGTCCGCACTTATCTGATAGCCCCTGTTTTCTCTTGTGACAAGTGTTAGTCTAACTGTGCCTGATTTCACCACCAATGAGATTAAAGCATCTCATATTGTCGTCGTACGGCTGAAGTTGAGTGTGGTATCTCATGAGAGCGGAAGTTCATATTTGTTTGCTTTTCTTGTTCAGCCCTTTTGAGTAAATTGGATGTGTGGAGAGATGACTGTTTCCTATCGGTCGTGGCAGTATCCATGACCATTATTGATTATTTTTCCACACCACCACTACCTAATCTTCTTTCTTGCTTTCAGTGTGGGTTACCTGACGACCCAGTGGATACGCCGGAGAAGGTGGCAGCATTTGTCAAGCACTTCGAGATGGAGCCTCCTATTTTGGGTGTTGGTACACTCGTGTCGCATGATCCGGTAAACTCCTTCGGGTTTGATATGACTCTCATGATGGAGAGTGTAGACTAAGTGTACAGGCCAGTCACGCTTGTAGCGATCTAATTTAACATTTAGAGTAGACTAGAGAGAGGGTGTACACAGACGAAAGATTTATTGATGACGATTGACGAAGTGGCAACTTGATTTTTCAGAATAAACTCGTCAACTCTCACGTGAATATCGAGTTCCACTTATATCTAGTGGGTTAGGAAATATTGCATAGGGGAATTCAGTAATTCAATTGGGTTCGGTTAGTCATCTTATTGGCTGTCACAGATCAGTGTGTACGTGACTATCTAGGCGTGTCCAATTCACATTCACTTAGGAAGAACAATTAACTTCCGAATGTAAAGCAAGAATATTTGAAGTGGGTTTGATTAGTCCCTCGGAAATATTAGCATCAACTTAGGGAACACTTGTTGGAAATTCATGATCCACTTTACTTACAATGATCACATGGAAATGGGGTGTTCGGCGCACGATTTTGCAGAGAGATGAATTTGTGACTCTTGCAAAATTATCACACCACTCGTTGGGCCGGTGTGCAGATATGCCACTAGCTTTAGTCATACAGTTAAATTCACCTCATTGGGTTGTTTTAATGATAAATTAGGGGAACCTAGGTAATCGGGAATGTAAGTTCATATTTTCAGTTCAAATAGGGATTTAACACAAATCCATGTTTAGATGTATGGTTATTTGCCGTGCATTATTATTTACAATTGTAAATGTTAAGTGCAGCACTGAGGCCAGAAAACCAATTTAGTTTCGTTTAATTTCTACATGGGACCAAAAACGGGTTTCTACATCACGAGGATTATTGACCCATATCGAAGTTACTACATTTGGATGGATTTACTTGGTTATTTTATTTAATAAGTATTTCAGGAGTAGCCAATGCTTTAAGATCTCTAATATCCAGAATCGATAGTTAAAATCGATTACACGAATTCGGAAAAAAACACCCATCCCCGCACTCCTTAAACTAACCTTATTCACTAATATTGTCATAGTTCAAAGCACCTTCTTTTGCCAAGTATGTCGAAGTCACTTGCCTCGTTTTCCGAGGTGCTAACAAATCGCTAACTAAACAAATTTGTCATACTCAATGCTTCATACTCTCGAAATAAGATTAGTTTACAGTCGCTTAAAATTTGAAGTTGAATTCGAGCTCAAAAGTTGGAGATGGTACCAGTGAAGGCAAGTACGAAATGGCATTTGGGTAATCTGAATTTAAGGTCTTTAAATGCAAACAAAATTGACTGCGAACCCGTCAGTAATTTTAAGTCTAGATTACCTGACTGGTCCATTCGCAAATGACCATTTAAACCTTAGAACATTGCAATTGATTTTTAATAATATGCCAAAAATAAGAGTGATGCGTAATGAAATTGGGGGCTAAATCACATCGTAATGTTTGGTAGATTGCAATGAGTTACGCTAAGACATTGATTACTCTCGCTAACCTTATCCGATTTATCAAATACTGAGGCGTGAGTGGATAAATATTTGGTGCTCACAATCTCTTCTGGATTTCAGCTGCGAAGTTATTGAGAATGCTCAAAAATATCGTGAATCGTCAACTTTCCACTTGTAATAATTAATTAAACATTGGGCACCCCATTGTATCCTGAAGTTTTGAGTAGAGGCCTATATTCGAACAACGCAATTGGGGTCCTTGTGAGCAAAGTGGGCAAGATTAGCCTTAAGATGAGGCTCCTGTAGAGGTATGACGAGTGCAGAATTATCTCGATGGGTTCATCTGGGAAGTTCCAAAACTACGCTACATCTCAATAGAATTCGCTTTTGTGTCAGGTTGCCAAATATTCTCAGACATCTTACTCGATAATCTCACTTCGAGTCATGAGTTAACAAAGAGAACCAGAAAATAGTACCTAACGCCATGGCCGGTGGAAATCCCTCAAGACACCAAAACGCCCTACACTCTGGCTGAACTGTTGCACTCAACAAAGGTGACAATGACGAAACCCATCTCTAAAGGCTTAATTTCCACCTCAAGGAATTGTGAAGAAAATACGGTGAAATGTGAATATGAATGCATATGAATATGATCGAGGAAAGGAATCAATACTTCCGTGCCATAAATAGAACATTTTTTCCACTGGAGCACCAATCAACACGGGCATTCAGCGTCCGCTTTTAAGGTATGCAAAGAGTGTGTGGAACTCAATGCACAAGAATGCTTTCCTCCACATCGGCCTTCATTTCAATCTCACCTCTTCTTGATAGCAACTTCTTCTGGGGCAATAACATAAGGTACCTTTTCTGAGAGGCGACGAAGTAAATACACAGATCCACACCTCCAAGTTATAATCTCATGGATTTGGCCATGCATGGTTATATTATTAAGTGTGATGCGTCATTGCTTTGTCAAGGTGCTGCATCGACTAAGTTTAGTTTATTTGAGTCGTGAAATATGTGGACGACCTTCACGAATTAGTCAACTGCTGATGCATCTAGTCAAGTTGGTTGAACGTTTGCTCAGTTGAGGTTCATCAATTTCTAAGAGCTGTGCCTGACGCTGTTACATCTCTAGGAAGTGATAAGACGAGTAGACGTGAAAGGCATAAAGTCAGTAAAGTCCTTTGGGAGATAAAAATACTTGGCCCACGAAGCAAACGATCTAGGTGTAGAGAGGAAGGAGACGTCTCACCTATGTCCACGAATTTCTCAATAAGAGCAACTGTGACCAGTGCTTATAAGGCCCATTAGTCAACTCTGAGTGCTCATGTGTGCTTCAGTCTAGTTCCCAGGGGGCACTGTGTCTTCTCGAGCAGGCTTTGTTTTTCGTAATAATTCATTTATACATTTATTTAAAATGACAGGCGTTTTGATAGTTCTAATTGGCCTTTAGCTGACTCCGGGCTTCATTGATAGGAGGAGGAACATCAAAGTGACAAAATTCGAGAGGGAGGAAAGAATAATGATTCACAGATGTAAAAGAGAGACAGACAGACACAGACACAAAGGCAGAGAAAAGACAAGACGAGTACTGTGGAAAGGGACGAATATGACATACAGTTGGGTCATGGTAGTTTGAAGTCAGAAGTCAAATGCTGGTCTGAGAGACATTTTTACCGTATGAGTATACGTTGCCCAGGGTGCACGACGTGGAGATTAGTCTATCGCACGCCCCGTTTTTCGTAATAAGAAGACAACATTAACGGGTGTATTGGTAGGGAACTCGTCTAGACAACCGGGTCGCATGCATCTGGAAATTGATAAGACTGCTCGACCACATGGGGATGAGGATTTCTATGCAACTAACTGCACTCGGCTTCCTACCATGCGTAAATAATCGTCAAGTAATCTCCTCAAGCCTCCAATGGAACATCAATAACTGGGAAAAGAAAATGAGACATGAAAACTTTGTTGATGAAAATTGAACACATTGTTTGTGAGCTCTAGTTACTCCGACTTGTCCTGTCAATTGGACTAAAGAATACTGGTAGAGGTTATTTCGGTTGGAGACTTGGTTATATGGTGGTGGGGCTAATTTTCACTTCGAATTCAAATTCATCTATTAGTGCAAGTCGCAAATCAATGGTTGTTCGTTCCACAGTTCACACAATTTCAAATTGTGCTAAGCTATTGATATATACTAGTAAAAAACTAGACTATAATGGAACTGTTGCAAAACATAAGAACTTGAGAAGTTCACAAATGAAAAGCCAATTCAATTTCGTCAGAGATTTGAATTTGAGTTCAGTAGTCAGTTGGAGTGCACTACCTCCACCAGTATTTAACCTCAAGTAACTAAACAAAGTACAATTGTTTCAAAAAACGACCCTAAATTAGAACACCAAATAATACGTGCACTTGCAGATCGTGCCAAAATTACATCAAAATACATTGATGAGAATGCACTTTTTCAATTATCATGAGCAGATAGGGTGGAGAGAGGTTTCAAACAATCTTGGCAATATCGAAAGACATAGGGGGGGGGGCAATTGTTGGCCTAAATAACTTCGGTCCGAATCCATACAATAATTTTTCAAACAACTAAAAAAGACATCAGAGTCATTTGAAAACCGTGCATTTGCATATACAATTAACCAAGCAACATTTCAACTATACCTGAAGCGAATGCTCCATGAATAGGTATTGACTAAACCTTACTAATCCTTTCTGGCGAAATTCCACAGCATAACATTGCTCGCGAAATTGTCACACAGGCAACAGGCGTCTTTCACCTCGAACGCTCCGTTTCATATACTCGTCAAACTACCTACACACTCAGTCAGCAAAGACTGCCGATGTCATTCAAACCCTGCATAAACTCGACTCCTGATTGACTGAGGGGCTACTGCACACTTGAACTGACATTTACAAAAGTTTGATGGTGAGTAAGATTTCTGTGATCAGTCCTGGTATAGTTGTGCACTGCACAACTCTTCTACACAAAGAGCCAGTAGCATACATTGCTTCCCAGTTGGCACGAGTCCGAACAAACAAAAATCATAGCCAAAATGTTTACGTTTGGGTATATCCTGTAGGCGGGAATCTTGTAGCAGTAGAAAGAACTAGAACTCCTAACCCTACCACGATACGGAAGAGTCATACATTACAAAGTGGATAAGGGCATACTCGTGAAAAGAGTTGTCTAAATTTCATTAAAATATGAGCAATGATCTTGAGAACGAGCAAGATGCAGTTGAATTGACAAATGCATTGTTGATTGTTCACGAATTCTTAGGCATTAGTAATGGCGAGGTAGGAAAAGAAAAGAAGTCTGGTTTCCAAAGAAGTTCCATAACGAGAATTAAAAGAATTAACAAAGCTTCATCACCTCCAATTGACTTAATGCCCCATGCACATGAACTATGCCACTAAGAACGCAGCAGGAGGGAAATTGGTATGGATGATGTTTGTTGCTACTTGATACTTCCCTAACAATATCGGAATGAAATTATTTTGCAAATCTGCAGAAGTCAACATGGGATTTGTAATTATGAAGACTTGTGGGATGTGACATAGCACAAATTAAATAATTATTTCAAAACTAGGAGTGGAGATTTGATTTCTTATGCTCATGCAACAGTCCTCCTGATGTCTCTATAAGCACATTATTTAGAGTTTTTTAAGTAGCTACGAGTCATGGCGAAATAAATCAAGTCATTCATGCCTCACTAACAATCAAATGGTGACCGTCTGACAACGTCTACTTAAGCATTAATATATTAACTCATCGCATTAATATGTGCGGGTGTTGAAAACTGCGAAAAAATTAATCTCAACATTGAAAAACCGACAACACAGACTTTCCTTCAATATTATCTGAAGAATGTCTGATTAAAGTGAATTCAGAGGATGTTTAAACGATTACAGGGCAAAGTTCTCCAAGGAATGTCATTTCCATATTATCTAGTCATTTGAGAATTGTGCAGCCAAGGAGAATTTGTCTAATCTTTCCGTTTTGGATCATATATAATGCATATTAATTTAATATTTGTTGATGAAAAACATATGACAAATATAAATGATCCAATTCGGGTATATGCAGACCAAATGGGGTTACTTGACGAAACAAGCACAGGGTAGTCGCCATTTGGGCAAACCAGGAAATTTTAAGAGTCAGCCTTAGTCACTAAACTTGCCTTCAATCAAAAATATATACAAACTTGTATATAGTCTAATAAATTACAACACATAACATTTATTTTGATGTAAAAAATTATAAAATCTCGATTTTATTTAAAATTTATTTTAAATTTACTTCAACTACAATTTGATTATTTTGGTTTTAATTAGCTAGTGCAGCAGAACAAATCTGGCCTATCTGAGTGCACTATTTCAGTTGTGTTATTCGGAGACATGATGGTCAGCTCTGCCTCCTATAGTTCCATTTTGTTTTTTGCTGTTTTAACAGTTTTGTATACTGGCGCCTTGTGCCATGGTCCTTCCGTGAATCACGCCAAGTTCATTATTCACTCTGTACCCAACTATACCCTCGCCAATTATACACAAGGAGTCTTCACTTATGAAAAAATAAAGAACCCAAATTTCACTTACTTCCCCATCGCATCCATTTCTCTACCAAATGTAAGTTATCTTTACCATGATTGATGCGCACTACCTTCCACTTCTTCCTACTTATTTAACTATCTTTTAAAGCTTCCGAAAATCGGGCAAGGCTACTCGATGCTCTCAGTCTATTCCAAGAAAGACGACAAGCATGAAACCTATTTGCTCGAAATTGCCGGCAAAGGCGCTCATGGTCATTCTCACCATGGTCATTCTCACCATGGACATTCTCATCACGGCCATTCTCACCATGGACATTCACACCACGGTCACTCTCATGATCACGAAGAACACGAGGAACAAAACTTCTCGATGGGTAATGACACTCCTCTTTACTTATCCTCTTTCCACTAGTTCTCATATACGCTTTTCTTGGTGTGTCGCTGACTAACCTCTGTTCACTAACCGGCATTGCTTGCATTCCTATCCAACGCTGGAGACACTTCCATTATTTGCTCAACTTCATGCTTGGTTTGGCTGTTAGTGCCTTGTTCGCTGCCGCCGTCATGGTCCTCATTCCTGAAGTAAGTGCATTTGTAACAAGCTACTCGCCTTCATGAAGACAGCTTAGGAAGTTACTCATTTCCTCGCGTGTCTGTCCTGCTTTATAGGCTTTGAGACTTGAGGAGGTTCCCTTGGAATTCGGTGGACAAGGCTTCGGATATCTTCGCAAACTGGCTTTCATTCCTACTGGTCTATATCTTTTCTTCATAATTGAATACCTACTTCTTATTGCTCCTCGAGTATTCAAGGTGGGTGCAGCAATTGTACTTATCCACAATGGCTATATTCGTTCTTAACCTCGATATTTGTTGATGCTTGCAGTTGAAGAGAGCAGCAGAGGTGTCCGAGAGTGATTCTGATGACGATGACAAGGTAAATTTAATGTGTCCAACATTTTGTTCATTCTCTTCTAAGGCAAAAAGCAGTGCTAATCTTGGCTGTTCTTCCACATTCTAGCATTGCCATGCAGCTACTCTTGACATACGCAGTGCATCAGGACAAGAAGAGCAGGCAGTCGCGAAGGCATCAAGTTGTCCTTGCTGCACTCTCGCCAATTTCACTGAAGTCAAGCCTGTGGCATGGATGATCCTATTGGGTGATTCAGTGCACAATTTCATGGATGGCATAGCCATTGCAGCTGGTTTCACCCAGAGTCCTTCGATCGGTCTCACCCTTTCTCTCTGTGTCCTGCTTGAAGAATTGCCCCACGAGTTGGGTGATTTCGCTGTTCTCATCTCCTCTGGCTTCTCTATCAAAGCAGCCCTTTGTGTCAACTTCATATCTGCCTGTTCAGCATACCTTGGTATGATTGTTGGATTGTTAATTGGTGAGGCTTCTGGAGACGGGTCTTTCTACGTGTTTGCTGCCATGGCTGGTGTCTTCCTTTATATCAGTCTTTCAGACATGGTGAGAATCGATTAGCTCTTAATTTACACTTTACTCATCATTTCCTCCTCTCATAACCCCCCCCCCTCCCTCCCACCCACACACTATCTCAACTCTGCCTACTCTTATTGCTTTACAGTTGCCCGAACTTCGCAGATCCTTGGAGAAGGCGGAGAAGCACAACAAGTCCTCCCTCGTAGTGTTCCTCCTGGAATTCGCTGGTCTCATGGTGGGCTGTTTCTGTGTTGTCTTCGTAATGCTGTACAGCCACTCCTTCATGCATTAACCCGGCATCCTCCTCTCTGATGTAGTTATGTAAAATAATGTAATTTAATAAATTATGGCGTTCGAATTTGTATAACTGTCATTTCTAAGGGGATGGTGCATTGTACATACAGCTAGCTTTTGTAGTCACTCTTTAGCTAGATTGAATTTCATCACTCTGGGATATCGGGCATCACATTGACGATCGAGTTGTGTGCCCTCACATAGTCAATGACATTTTCAGCTTTGCCGGCACTGGCATTCGAGCTTGTTGAACTTTGTTACCAATGGCACAGACTCACATTCAATTTCGCGTTTGCTACTCAGGCTGTTTAATGGCATAAACGTGGTCAACAATTTGGACATTCATTTAAATGTACGTGCTGTGGTTAGAGCAAACATGATGGTGGAGCTCTCATACCGTGTAAAGCAATTTTCTCACCAAAGTATTACGTTTCAATAATAAGCCCGTTTGCTTAAGATCATAGTAAGATTGGGAATAGGATAAATGAATACGTAACCTTCCAAACTCTGGTGCGTTGAAAAGGGAAGGTCAGTCAGCACTTCCTCACCACCTTATGGACGTTTCAATGTTCCTTTCTGGCTACCGCTTGTAAAGTTCAGTTCTGATTTCACTCACAGTAGGATACCAATTCAATCCATTTCAAGGTTGGTGGTTCGTGAATGTGTGTCTGGGAATTAACAAGCTCACAAGGACTAATTGTTTAAAATGAGGAATGAGGTGAGTAGACAATGAGAAGGTATGATAAACGCAGAAGATCAGCTATTCACAGGTTAATTTCCTCATTCTGCCATTTACTATGTCTTCCACGATTGCTCAAATTGTAGCTCATTGTACTAAGATTGCCACACACCTCCATATCTGAGTACTGTCATAGTTGTCAAGTGATGGAGTTTCGATTGCTCTCGAAGTCAGCCAACTCTCTCCATGTAGCCAAATCACTAGTGTAGGTGTGTGTTCCTCATAATTTCTGACTCCATCTCTGAATACCTCCCCCCTTCCTTCCCACCCCCCCTCACCCCCCACCCTCCTTTCACGTCTCATTTCATTAGGGCTTTATTACTTAATTGCATTAAAACTCAACTCATTTTATCTCGATTTTCTCAATGACTGTTGCTTGCCTATTACTTGCGTTCTCCTAGCCTTGAGGAAAATGATTAGTTCCCTGAGAGGCGACCACTAAGTCTCAGATGGGGTGGGAAGGTTCCTAATAAGTCTTTCCTAACGATTTTGGTATTAGTCTGTGCCACCTGTTCGAATGCAATTTTCGAAGTTCCAGAGACAAAATTCTAATTCTTGTTGCTTCCTGACCTACTACAACTGGAACATTCAACCCGAGCAGCTTGTGTACATTTTCGTTCCACCCGCATTCCAAACATCTGCTTTGGAAGCTCGACTAGACTCATTGCTACATCAACTTCCGTCTCTCCCCCACTCTCTCTACGCATTTCAAATTTTTGAACACATTCACTTTAGTCGAAACATAAGCGATTGGGAATTATTAAAATCCCAGTTTGTTTAGATTCATATCGGTATGCTCACTAATCGATTGATTTAATTTTGCATTCTGAAAAATTCTTCAAATATACTCGCTTATGGGATGAATTAGCGTTGGAGGATGCACTTGTTAAAGCCAAGTTCTGGACTTGAATGGAGCTCTTTCAACATCGAGTTGTGAAATTACCAGTTGAGTGGTGAGAATTGTGAAGTGTACAAGTAGACTCGAGCATTCTGGAACGTGTGACCATGAGGCTAATTGCGTTAAGAGGTAAATGAAATCAGGAGTGCGGAAACACTTCGAACTATCAATAATCAACAGTCAACATGCAGGCTTATCGTAACATGTCGACATCACACTCGCACACACGCACAGGCACTTTAGCTGAATAAACTTACCCTACTTCCTTCGTCTGTTTCCTCTACATCACTGAAGTTCTTTAGCTAAAATCGGGAGTCTTTCCAAACTAGAGTTTCTTGCTCTAGAGGCTACTGAAGCTAAGTCGAGGCTTATTCGTGTGGCCTAACGATGCAGGAAAAAGGCTCAACCATTCTTAATGCCTGCAAAGCAACTACTGTTTCGAGCTTCTCCCAACCCAATTTCATAAAACTTGTTCTGCCTCCCAAATTTGCACCTCATAACTTTACTTGCGATTATTACTTATTGCATGAAATGAATAACAACTGGTCCGTGAAAGTGTGAGTGAAGTTATATAATGATTTGAATTTAAACTCATAAAACGTTGTAATACTGATGGGGTACTTGAATGCTACAAAAGATGGGGATAATATTTACTGTGGACTTTATTAAGCGCGAAAGTTGATTAAGTAGTCCCTCTTTTCAATCATGAAGGAAGACATATGCTCCGTTTTACCCCGATGACCTCGATAATAAAAGATAATTGGTTCAATACTCATCGGTGAGTGCCCATGAGGTGGAGTGGCCAATGGCACTGGTTGATAAATTGGGGGGTTAAGGAATTCGATTCGAATAACTGCTCAACTTCATGAGAGTTATGACAACCTTAACTAGCGTATGTCATCAAAGTGAGAGGCTGATATTTGAGGTTGAAAGGAGGCGATTATATATGCATCAGAGGATGTGAAACATCAAGAGAGGAGAAAACATTCATCTTTCCTCCCCAGATTACAGGGAACTTTTCTCCACGATGTCCAGCGTTTACCAATTGGTTGTCTTCAACGTGATCGGTGGTGCTCCTTCAATGCACTCCTTCCTCACTACGTTGAAAAGCACAGCAACATTACTTGGTGTTACCTGGAATGGCTCAGCATTTCAAAATGCAATACTATTATGACTTTCATGGCAAAATGCCATTGACTTCTGATTGTGGACAACCCTCTCAAGCATCAGTAGAGCGGGCCTAACAGGAAATTAAAGAAACTGGAACGGGCAAATTGGGAACGAAATGCTGTATTCATCACGCTTACCCTCGCCAAAGTTCAAAATCCAATCTTGGAAATCGAAGTCTAATGCGCTTTCGTGCGATTCTCTTCATAGGCTATTTCTTATCAAACACACCGCTCCACCAGTGGCTATATCAGCTCTTGGTTGATTAAGATTGCCTTTACAGCCGATACAATGGCGACTTCAAATGCATAGTTATGAAAATGTCAGTTTGTCGAGAATGAAATTTACTGCCGATTGATAGTCTATTACAAAAGAACGTATTGATTTTCGTGACGAATAATTATACGTCTCTCCTAGGTCTCTACTCTGTATGCACTTTTTCAAAACCTGAGTACTCTCTTTTCTTCAAATATCTTTCTTTATTTTACGTTAAAAGGTCGGTTATCAAGCATATGGACTTGACAATAAGATTCGTAGTTGAAGAAGTCCTTTAGTAGAAATACTTAAGTTCCTGAAGTTACACACAAAGCTCCAAAGTACCTATTGTCATAATAATACTTTGAGTTTGAACTCGAAGCAGTACAAGTTCTAACAAAGTATTTCAGAAACAAATTGAGCTACCTTTACTACCTGGGGTGTGCGATCGACTTACCTCCACGTGGTGCACCCTGGGCAACGCATACTCATACGGCAAAACAAGTCTATCAACCGGCAGTTGACTTCAAACTATCGGCAAAAAAATTCTATTAACCGGCAGTTGACTTCTGACTTCAACGCAAAAAGGTCTATTAACTGGCAGTTGACTTCTCACTTCACAAAAAAGTCTATTAACCGGCAGTTGACTTCTGACTACTCAAACGGCAAAAAAGTCTATAAACCGGCAGTTGACTTCTGACTGAAAAGGTCTATTAACTGGCAGTTGACTTCTGACTTCAAATAAAAGTCTATCAATCGGCAGTTGACTTCTCACTTCAAACTAAAGTCTATTACCTGGCAGTTGACTTCAAACTACCATGAGTAAGTCTATTAACTGGCAGTTGACTTCTGAGTTCAAACTATCATGACCCCAAGTCTATTAATCGGCAGTTGACTTCTGACTTCAATTACCATCAAGTCTATCAACCGGCAGTTGACTTCTGACTTCAAACTACAATCACCCCACTGCACCTCCACAGTACTCCTCTGAACCTTTTTTTCTGCCTTTGTGTCGGTCTGTTTCTTTTACATCTTTGAAACACTCTTCTGTTCCCCCCCCCCCCCC